GAGTGCTCCTTCTAGGTGTGAAGGCTTCCTTAATGCAACAGAAGTTAAAATTGCTGGTGGTGCAGCAGGTGAAGACAGAGTCCAGGCTGTTTGTTCAGAAGAGAACGACTCGCTCTTCTGTGGCATATATGATGGATTTAATGGAAGAGACGCAGCTGATTTTCTGGCTGGAACATTGTACGAAACAATTAGGCATTACCTTGGTTTATTAGACTGCGAACTCGAGCGAGAGTCTAAAGTTTCTGATCGCGTGGGTTTTTATGGGCTTCCTTATTTAGAGGTGGAAAAGTCATGTACGTCTTTTAAGCAAAGGGTTCTTAATAGTCTGGAACAGGCTCTTATTCAAGCTGAGAATGATTTCCTTCACATGGTTGAACAAGAAATGGATAACCGCCCTGACTTAGTGTCAATTGGATCCTGTGTATTAGTGGTGCTTCTACTCGGGAAGAACATGTATGTGCTCAATGCAGGAGACAGTCGAGCTGTATTGGCAACTTATGGTGAAGGCATTGATGCTAATAGTGATGGAAGGTTGCAAGCTGTGCAGCTGACTGTTAGTCATACTGTCGATGATGAATCTGAAAGAATTCAACTATTAAAGAATCATCCTGAAGATCCCTCAACAATCGTGGGTGGGAAAGTTAAGGGAAGGCTTAAGGTTACTCGGGCACTTGGAGTGGGTTACTTGAAAAAGGTGCAACTTCTACTACCTCCGTCCATTTTGACTGAATTTCAGTTGTGGCATCATGTTGGTTCCAACATTAATACAATCTTTTCTTTTTTTGCTTCTTACTTATTAGGAAGGTTAACACTTCCATTTTCTTATTTCAGAAGAGTATGAATGATGCTTTGATGGGAATTCTTCGTGTCCGGAATCTAGTTAGTCCACCATATGTTACTGTACAGCCGTCTCGGACTGTACATGAAATATCTAGTTCTGATCACTTTGTTGTACTTGGAAGCGATGGTCTATTTGACTTCTTCAACAACGATGATGTTGTAAAGCTTGTCCATTCTTACATTCAACGTTACCCTTTTGGTGATCCATCCAAATTTCTTGTGGAGCAACTTGTCATGCGAGCTGCAGATTGTGCAGGTATGACATATGCATCATACTCTCTCCATTTGACCACATCTACTTTCATGTAATTTAATCAAATAGTATACATTAGACCACTATTTCGACTGTCAGCACGTTGGTAATCTTCCATCCTTACAGTACACAACAAAGTCAAATGAAACCACATTATATTATACACACAACATGGCACATAGCCACATATTAATCATTTTTTTAGTTGCTAGTTAATGCAGTGATATCAGCAAAAGAGTACTTACTCCGTTTTAATTTGTTTGTCTTACTTTCCTTTTTAGTCCATTTAAAAAAGAATGTCTCTTTATCTTTTTTGACGACTCCTTAATTCAAACTTTCCACATAGCATGTTAAGACCACAAGATTAAAAGGCATTTTGGTACATTATGCATATCTTTAGTTTAAGATCACAAGATTCAAAAGTCTTCTTTACTTAAACTCTTTAAGTGAAAACCAGTTAAATAAATTGAGACGGAGGGAGTACTAAATGTTGTGTTGATGATCCTCTGAGGTTGTATCAAGTAATATTGTGGATATGCTCGTCGAAAAGAATATGAAGTAACTGCATACATTTGCAGGCTTTAGTAAGGAAGAGTTGATGAGCATACCAGCTGGGAGGAGGAGGAAATATCATGATGATGTGACAGTAATGGTGATAATCCTGGGAATGAACAAACGTACCTCAAAAGCATCGACTCGTCTATAAGTTTTGTCAATCTGAAGAACAATTTTGTCAATTTCATTTCATATTATTTTGTATTTTGACCTCAAAGTAAGGAAACCGAGGCCCCGGAGAGAAGGAGAGGAGGTGGTTATTTTGCTTATAGTAGAAGGTTTATGTTATTCACCATTTTTCAATTTGTTTGAAATTGTTCTTCAAAACACCTTTATTTCATTTGTAATCTATGTATAGTGTTGCTCATCATTTTCATGAATAAGAGGAAGTGTTGGAATTTCTTTGAGCATTTTAGAATTGGTTCTCACTTTCATTTCATTTGGTATGATGATGACATGAGTTAAGTTTAAATGAAGTAGTGACGATTTATATTGATGATCCAACTTGCTTTAAATTGAGGCATGTTTGTTTCTTTTATGAAACCAGGTGAATTTCTCTTTTCATTCATCTAAGTTCTGGTGAATATAGTTACTTGATACTTATGTTGATGACAAATATCAGGTATTTGGTTCATTATATGAGGTTGATATCAAACTAGTTGAAACGTCATCGTTATAAAATATGATTATATTCCAATTTTAAGCTATCAAAAGAGTCTTACTACTAACAATCATAACCAATGGTTGAAGTAGACAGCCTTTGCCTTCTTTTTTGTTCTTAAATGATTCTTGACCTTTCAAGTTTGTGAAGGTTATCTATCAAAAAATAAATTTGGTCAGCTCTTTGGATTTATTCCTTGTCTAAATAAGAAGATATTATTTCATGTGAAGCTAAAAAAAAGATTATGTTTTCAACCAGCCCCACCCCCACCCCCCAACCCCCAAT